AGCTCAATGGATTACACAAATTCGTTGGTAAAGGAAGTGCCAATTTACAGGATTAGCAGCGAACTCAAAACAAAATCCTTTACGCACAATATAGATTTTAAATCTACTTGCTGCTGCAGAATGGAGTGACACTAGTAGCTTGCTTAAGTTCAAAATACAATTAAACAAATTAACAGAATAAAAATCTACTACAGCCTTACAGAAGTACAGCCTCCATCTGAAACAGTCTTGAAATTCCAATCAGGAAGTCTCAGAGTATATATAAAGGAAGTATTGTAATATATTTGCAATGTTACCCATCTCTAAGCATCTTCTGTTGGGAGCAGAATACTGAGCTACACAGAGCTCCAAACTATATCTGTTTTTCCTTTTTAATGTAGATTACTGCAGTAATAATGTTTTATAATATATTATATCAACTTCTTATTCTGGAATCTGGAAATCTCTGGAGGTGGAACTAATCTATAGCTATAATAATGCCTATAGTCCTGTTTCAATACCTTAAAACTGGTACTGAATAACACAAACATTTACAGAAGAAATGTGTAGCAATAACCTTTTCTGTAAGTGCTGATATTAGAACTAGGGGACAAGGTTTAAAATTATAGTACTGAAGTAGACAATACAGAGCATAAAAAAGATGAGAGGAAATTTGCCTTTGAATATATTTTGGAAAAGGCTATTATGTTTTCCCTAAAATGTATTTAGATTTAACAGAATTATAATGGATCTACCTTCAGCACACAAAGCATGTGAGGCTACATTTAGCTAACATGGAAAACAGTAAGTCTTTATTAGAGACTCAGAGGCAAATTACAGTTACTGCTTCAGGTATGATGCCACAACCCTTGCTCATGGAAACAGAGAGTAATTATTCTAAAAACTCTCGAAATACCAGGGACCAATAGATTTAATACCACAGTAAATTGATAATATTTCAAGGCAGAAAAGTTTAGCAAGCACCACATGGGATGATGACAGAAAAACAGATACACTGGGCATGTGTCTTATTTATTCTCATCTCTTCCAGAAGGCATTTATTCTAGGGCATGAACATTTACTTTTCTGCTCCTAATAATAATTTTTCAATTGTCTTTTTCTATCTACACAGTTCTGTTTACTTTTTTCTGATTCTTATTGCAAATAATATTTTAAATTGATAAAATCCTTAAATTTGTGTGCATAATAAAAGTGTTACCTTATATCAGTCTATGTTTTGTTGCTTCAATGAAGTTTGCATTTGTAGAGAGAACTAGTTTTAAAATCACTGAACGGTACTAAAAGCCTCTAGATGAAAATATTTTGTATCACAGCATTTAATGTATAGATCACTTTGATTTAAAATAGAATAAACCACAGCAACTCATTACAGCATGCCTGTCTTCTGTACTGGCTTCAGAGTGAATACTATAATCCCTGCATCATCTTATTTAGTTTTTAAAAAATAATTAAATAAATAATAAATAAATTCATAGAAACTTTTTGATACAGAACCTTTTCTGAAATATGTTTTCTCCTCACAAAACATCTGAAGTTGTATTGCTAAATCCACAGCTGCACCATACTCAATCTACATATTTGGCACGCACTGCAGAAGTAGAATTAATTACAGAAACAGTCACAAAGCTTATTTATTCCCATTAACATACAAACACTATGAAGTGCCTTGTTTAGCTGAAAGCTAAATAACGGTCTAGACACCACAAACATATTTTAAGTCAGGAAAAAAAAATCTTAAATATTTACAAAATTATTCTGTCTTATGTCAATCAGGTTTTTGAGGGTCAGCATATATGCATACACTTATATATAAGCATACATATCTATACACACATATGCATGTATGTATACACAGAAATATACACATAAACATACGAAGCCCTAAGAGTTAGGATTTTTTTAAAAAAAATAAAATAAAAAAAATAAACGAATAATATCTTTTTAACAGTTTTCCAAATAAAAACACTTAGAATCTTTTTAATATAGGACTACCTTTCTTCATGCTTTGTTTTCCTTGAAGCTGCATCATTCCAGTCTGTATAAAACTACAAAATTGTGCAAAACAAGTATTTTTATACAAGTCCAAAATCTAAAAACGTAAATTAAACAAGGAGTTTTGCTTATTTCTCAACTGCATATGAACTTAAAACTTGGAAAAATAATTTCTTTTCTCTTTTCTACCAAATCAAGTCCTGATATAATCTTGTGGGCTTTCAGCTATAAGGAATGAGATACGATGCAATTCTTAAACATGGAGTATCTGGGTTGACCAAGAAAGCTATGCAGTTCAGAAAAGCCTACTTATTGGACTTTGTATTTACATATTATGTCTCATTCTTATGTTGTGCTGTGCAAATAATGAAATATAACACAGAAAAATTGTTTAAAACTTTACTAATTTATATTTCAGGAAGTAATTTCCAGGATTTAACACTCAAGAACAATGTTCCTTCATAGTATTTTGTTGGAGGGCAGATCTGGGATACTCATGATGGCAGATGGCTATCATTACATAGTCTATTCCCCTTCTTTAATTCAACTTTTTATCAAGTATGCAAAAAGCATGATTCATTCTTCAGGAAAAGCCTGTTTTGCAGTCATTTTAACTTAAAGATAACATTTATGAAATTACATAAAACTTCCCTTCTATGCTTCAAAGATAAAAAATATCCTTTACCTCTTTTTTGTCAATTGTCTCTAAGAACTATCAAATTGAGAAGCAAGAATTAATAAACTTGATAAATGTTCTTCCAAAAAAATGGGGAGAGTAGAGAGGAGAGGTGAGAAAAGAAAAATCTATGAAAACAAGGAAAAGAAAAGTGTGCTTTTTAATTGTTATACTAGAAGCAACCATAAGAAAAGTTCTAGAAAATCAATTTAAAAACAAGCAATATTTCTTGTGAAGACATGTCATATCACACTAAATTCTGTCCTTCCTCAACCTTTTTACTGCAGTTGCCATGCTAAATTTCTATTAAAAATAAAATAAAACAAACAAACAAAAAAACAAACAAAAGAAAAAAAAACACCTCACTTAGAGAAGTAAAGTGAAGTGAACAAAATGCATCAAAATGAAACCATTCTACCTCAGAGATGTTACTATGCTTAACATTGTCACGCAAACCCACATCGGCACTGGATTAGCAATTTCCATTCTAAGCAGATTTTCAAGTAAAATTAAGATGTATCTACTCTGGAGACAGGTTCTACATCACAGACTTAGGTTGACTGTTCAGATATTGGTTAATTTACTGACTGTCATATTCAGTTTATATTAAATTTAGAATGATCTATTATTTCCAAGATCTTTCTAGGGTACATTAAAGAAAATCCCTGATTTCCCAAAACATAATTTATCTTTTTCACCATGGCAAGAATCATAATTAAAATCAATAGACATACAGCTTCTCAGGTGGTACTGTAATTCATTAATTTGCAAAATATTCTTCTGTTTAGGAAGCACAGGTTTTTAATTATGGCATTCCAATACTCTAGCAACTTTTCAAGGGTTTTTCCTGACTCTATTTTTTGGTAGTATTAGTAGTTAGTCTTTCGGAGACAAATATTTAAAAGAAATATGAAGATAAGGAATGGCAGAAGGCCATTTATTACACTTGATTCACACTTCCTCTCCTTTCATTACTATTGCCCATATAATGCCTTATGGGGCCACTGAGTCTTATAGTTCATGTACAATTAAGGTCTCAGTAGAACAGGCAAAGTAGCATTTTGCAGTTTCCGCATTTGGTCTCAAGTTTCAACCTTGCTTTCTATTTTACGGTCAGTAAGACGTATTACAAGCCTGCCCTCCTACAACATAGGCTAAGCTGCTTTTAAAAGTTATTTATTCTTTAGTAGCAGTAAGGGCAGAAGATGTAGAGATAGTAAACTCTTTGCTAATGTTCTCTCTAAGTTACTGAGATCTTTATTCTTGGAAGAGAAGACTTCTGATGAATGACATAGTTATCTTCAATTTTAGAAGGATATAACATGTACATTTAGACCTTTCAGCACAGCAGTATCTTAGGTTTGGCTCATTGTTACATTTCACTTTAAGTAGTTTAGGTATCAAAATATTACATTTCACTTTAAGTAGTTTAGGTATCAAAATAAAGATTGAGAAATGTGGCCAGGATAGAGCTTTATTTATTTAGTAGGAATGGATCACCAAATAGACTAGTTTGAGCTGAAAGTAGCTCCATCATTAAAATATCTTGCTAGTCAGGGCTAATTCTTTATTCAAAGCAGAGGGTTTGGATGATAGTATGAAGGAGCAATTAAATGAATGACATGGTGTTAACCACCCATCTGAAATTAATGCTGAAAGAGAAATGAAGTTAGGATCAAGAAGCAAAAAGGAGAAAACATACAAGGAAAAAAAACAACAAACCAATAATTACTACTGGGTGAATAGTTTTATCAGACTTAAATGCCAGGTTAGTATTTAACAGAACCGGTCATTTGTCTGACTTTATTCAAGCGATCATGAAACATCAAACTGACCTTGCAGTAGCACTAGATTTATTATCTGGAAACTTGTCTCCTTTACCTTCCTAAATGCCATTAGAATAAAGTCAATGCAAAACTTACTCTAAAAATTCTGAAAAGCTACCTCTCAAATGTAACACTTCACGCACAAATACTGATAAATGCATGTGACTATAGACAGAAAAATGAAGAGAAAGTTATTAATGTTAGCACTTCCTTCCTGAGATCATTTATGGAAAGAAGAAAGTGAGAAGGTTCACCACATTTCACCCTTTATGCCTAGTTAGAAACTATAAGAACACACAGAAGATATTTAATGAGTAGTGCTAGTCAAATATGCTGATCTTGGAACAAAGAAACACAAGGAAAGGAAATATTTATGGGTAGGCAATGTCTTATGCCCCCAAAAATACTTTTGGTGGCAAGTTGTCACGGTATCTCTCTGAAAATCAATTTTTAAAGTCTACAAAAGGAGTAGTATAAGGAAGAGTACAGTAAAAGAATTATTTCACCTTTCTGACAATCTTTCCACATAGTTCTTCGGTTCTTCTCATAATGTTTATTCAACCAGGTGAGGATGGTTCGTTCATATGAAGAATATATATTACTGGATAAAGTTTCTGATTTTATTTTTGGGACATTCTGCGTGCTTTCCAAGCTGAAGAGATCAGTCTTATTATGAGAAAAAATTCGTGGAAGAACAAACACCTGAAATTAGAAGAGGTGTTTTTAAGCATGAACTGTAAAAAGCGCAATTTCAAGTTGAATGATTAAAAAAAATTTACTTCAAACTCAAAACTTTCTAATTTAGAAAAGGTTTAAGAGATTACACATTAGCATAAATGTATAACACACAAGGTAACAGATCTGCTGTGGTTTTAGAGAATTCCTTTGCTTCCTGAAATTAAATGCAAACTGAAGCTGTCAAATGGCATTGGGAATCTGAAGAGGTCCCAGCTGATTGGTAGCTGGTAAATGTCATCCTAGTTTTCAAGACAGGAAAGAAGGCAGGCCTTGGCAATTACAGGCCTGTCAGTCTCAATTCAGTACCCTGTAAAATTATGGAGAGGGTTATTCTGAAAGTTATTGAAAAACACTTGAGAGACAACACAGTCCTTGGTCATAGCAAGCATGGGTTCATAAGGAGCAAGTGCTGCTTAACCAATTTAATTTCCTTTTATCATAAGGTCATCCATCTCAGGTACTGGGAAGCAAGTACATGTGAGGTTTTTGTATTTTAACAAAGTTTTTGATACTTCCTCTCACAGTATCCTTTTGGACAAAATATCCAGCATACAGCTAGATAAATCCATGATATGATGGGAGAAGGACTGGCTGACAAGTTGGACTCAAAGAGCTACAGTAAATAGGGTTGCATCAGGCTTCTATCCAAAACACTAAGAATCTTGAAATGATACCTTCCATGATCCAATTTGCTCATTGGGTACATATGACACTGACTGTTTCTCATGAAAAAATAAATGCTACAATGCCTATAATACAATTCTTGGTACTGAGAGATCATGCATTAATGGACATTAAAAAAAATACATACATGTAAAATATACAAGATACAAAAATAAGTTACTAGTAAAAATTCTACACAATACCTTTGATTATTTATTCCCAATTGAAATGAGAGTATAGAAAAAGACATTTGAAAGAGAAACACAGAATTTGATTTTCAGGATGTTAATGAAGTCAATAGCTTTGGTTTCATCCTCCCTTATCAAAGAGGTCTCAGGCCTGACCACCTTTACCAGTGACTGAAGACTATCAAGGACCATGGTCATAAATGCTAACTACACTGCATCAGCTCCAATGCATCATATATTCACAGATAATTTAAGATGAGTTTGTTAAGGACTAATTGTTTGGAGAAGGTAAAGAAGAAAAAAAAAAATTACAGACAACTAATCATTTAAAAGGTCTATTGATAATGAATGCCAATCCATTAAACTGTTATTTTGAAGCATGAATTGTGCTCAGTTTCTCAGTTCCTTAAAAACCCACAGATATGAAACATTCTCTCAACTTCAGAATATTTCAGCACTAGCCCAAATAAATATATTTTATATAAACCAATCTTGCTGCCTTGACAGTTCATATCCTGTCTATTGTTTCACTGCTTTCCTTGCAAATTTAGTAACATTTTTTAAAAAAAAATCTTATTCAGCAACAGTCATGGTCATCCTTGTCAAAAATGGGTTTGAACAAAAGTATATGGAAGAGAGAAAAGGATTCTGAATGTTAAGTGGCTAGTTCCAATACAAATTCATATTATTTTAAGAGTTCTGCTTATGCTTTATTATACTGGATTTAATACCATGTTAGCCAAACTGCATAAGGCTACAACAAAAAAAGTAAAGCAGAGCATAATAGTTTCTAAGACATTAGCAAGAGGTACAGGTAAGATAAATGTGATAAGACTTTAAAAATGCACTATTACAAGAAACAAATAATATAAGACAGAAAAATGCAGAAACAATTAATGAGAAGCTGAAATATGCATCTAGTCACTATTGAATTTCTCCACAACCATGTTCCCACGTGCCCTTAGGGTCATCTGTCTCAGCCCATGTATACATATTGTTTGTTCCTCTGTCAGTTATTTGTATCATTGTCTTATTTTAGATCAACTGTACATCTTTGTTATAAACTTTATTTAAAATAACTTTTGTCGTTCTTTTCTTTAATACTCTTTTTTGGTAAATAATCACATAATCACAGAATAGTTGAGGTTGGAAGTCATCTTTGGAGATTGCCTAGTGCAAACAGCTTGTCAAAAGCAGAATCAGATAGAGCGGATTGCCAGGATCAAGTTCAGTTCATTTTTTTTGCTATCTCCACAGCTCCTCTGGGGAACCTGCTTCAGTGTGTGACCACCCCAACAGTAAAAAAGTTCCTTATGTTTAAATGGGATTTCCTGTATTTCAGTTACTTCCTGTTGTCTCTCATCATGTCACTGGCCACTACCGAGAAGAGTCTGGCACTGTCTTCTTTACACCATCAAGTATTTACACACAATGGTGCAATGCTCCTTGAACCTCCTCTTCTTGTTGGCTGAACAGTCTCAGCTCATGGTCTCCCCCCGTATGACAGATGCTCCAGACTCTTAAATAATCTGCGGGGTCCTGCACTGGAGTCACACACCAGTATGATCATGTCTGTCTTGTACTGGGAAACCCATTTTTATTTTCCATCCCTTCACATAGTCATGAATAAATATTTATTTTTAGACAGAAAAAAGTTACTGATTATTGATGAGCACATCAGATGTAGTTTATACCATTTTTTAATCTAAGATCAGTAAAAATAAACTAGAATAAAATAATGACCAAGTTCATTATCTTGCAAAAGGAATAAGTATATTAAAACATGCTTACCTGTTTAAAAATTCCATTCTAACACAGGATAGTAAATACCATGGTTATGTATATGTCTAGTCAACTAAGTATTTCCAGTGAAAAGCATTTCTAACCAGGTAACCAAAAATTATGGCAGGGTTTTCTTAATTTGTAATGAAAGATTTTGGTAACATTAAATTCTACAAAATGCAGACTGTTCTAAAATAACATTTCCTAATTGAAACATATTAACATATGCCTAAAATTTCAGAACCATGAAAATGCACATTTTCTCACTTTTTTTTCTTTTCTGAGACAAATAAAATACTTTAAAGTATTTTGGTTTAGACATCTGCTTTAAAAAGAAATAAAACTGAGTATACCACAGGTCTTTTTTTGAAAAAGTTTTTTTGTCATCAGTTCTACAGAATTTAAGCAGCAGATTTATCCACATTTTACCTTGTATATTTGGAGTAACACATCTGTCCAGGCTCGTTTGCTCACTGTCTCAAATGTACTATCCTCCAGAATGGGTAGATGCTTGTTGCTAAATATGTCTGAATGTTTCTTATCTCCTTTTTTCAACTCAGATTTTTGGACCTTCAGATAAAACAATGGGATTTATTTTCAATATTAGTTTCAGCAAGGAGACAATAATGAATCAACGGCATAAATGACTGATGTCAACACAGTACAACAGTAAACAGCATTACAGTTTGCCACTATCTTGGGAATAAGAAGCACAATACAGAATTGAAAGTAGTTGAAAGCAGCAATAAGGACAGAGAGGTAATATATATTTTTTAAAGAAATAGTCAAAGTAGTAGAAATCAGTAAAATGAATTTTAATTTGAGAAAACATATCTATTGGAAATTAATCACAAGTATCAGCAGTTTTGGAAAGAATGGCAAAAAAAAAACAGGGAAGAAGGATGTAAATGTTGCTGTCAGCTTAAATTTCTGTTCAGCCCCCAAGCACGTGCTTAGATTTATGCAATCCAAAGTAGTCATCACAGTAGGAACACTCACGGTCCACAGAGGACTTCCATCAGTCTTCAAAGGATTGACACTAAGCATGTGATCTCTGTTAAAAAAAGAATAACAAAAAAGAAAAACAAGCAAACAAAAAATACTAAAACCCCAAACTTACTTTCAGCACAGTTTGCACTTCAATCCATTGTTTATAATCATCAGGTTCCAGCAGAAATTCCGGCATAACATGAGGAAGATACGCTCCTTGGCTTCTGAAATCATAAAGCAAGAAAAGTTAATAGGTAGGCAAAATGACAACTCTTTTTAAAAGCAGTCCAAGTTTTTCAACTTGCTCAACCTATGAGGTTCATAGGACTAATGAACCAGTGCTATTAATTGGTGTAAATAGTTCCTATTTGTGAAGTTCATGTTCAGTTCCTCTGCCTACAACTAAATGCTTAAAGCACATACAGGTCTGGACAGACTGGCTGCTTTATGAGAATTGTTCTTCCTTAAAGGATTTATTACATCACAAAGCATTGAAACACATGATACCCTTTCCCATGTGCAAGCCAAAGAGTGAGTGTTGCATAGTATCAGCAGAATAATATTTCAAAATTATTAATTGTTAAACTGACCTGCTATATATTCTCAATAGACTAACATGCAATAGGAAAAGCAATTGCAGTAACAAAAGGCAACTTCATTAGACTGAATACCCAAAAAAGCTAACTTCTAAGTGAAGAAATAATATTTTTTTTAATCTCAAATGACAGTTTAAACAGAAATTGCTGGAAAGAGGGAAAAATAATGAAGGGTTCTGAAGCTGTTCCCAGGGCAGAAGAAAATTTTCCTAGATTTACATTGTTCTTTGTGTTCTTAACATGGCTAATGCGAACAATAATCAGATTAGCTATTCTTGCTATATAACCAGTCTCTCATTCAAATGAAGTGATCATACTTTTTTGGTACAATACAGTCCAAATTCAACTTACTTAGTACACTGAAAGTCATATATCACAGTTTGAAACTAGGATCACAACAACTTATATTTCTGTTGCCATGGAACTCTATTTTGCTGGTAATAGCACTTTCCATATTTTACATAGTGACGTTATCTTCTCAGATTATTAAACTTGCTGATTTCATAAAATTATCTAGCATGTTTTTAGACACAAATATTTTAAACAAGGAGCCAAAATAGCATAAGTTTAGTAGGCTGGTTCTAAAACTCACCATGCCTGAAATTCCCATTTTCCATTACGTCATATAATAAAAGTAGAATTAATCTTTTCAGGTGTCCTATACTTCTTTCAATGTTTTTACGTGGTAGATAGATGGGAATCAGTGTAATATACAATTTTAATCCTCAGGAAAACCATATAACATGGTTCTATATAATTAAATGTACCTATAACTGGGTATGTTTTATTATTGAGGAACACTGTCTTAAAAAAAAATCCTCCTCATTAAGGTCAATATTTAATATGATATCGGTTCTCCAAGGTCAGTATTTTTACACTTTAAGATGTTTTACCTCAAGGCACAAAGGTGGAAATAAATTAGTTAGTTGTATTTTAAAATACTAAAACTTTTCCTTTACTGCTCTGGAAACTGCTTTTGAGGGAAGGAAAAAAAACCTGATACTTTGAATGTTGTTTGAAACAGAACATCACCTACTTCAGCAAATGGAAAATTTGGAAGATTAATTTGAACCATGCTGACCATGTGATTGAGGGAAGAAAGCTAAGGACTGTAGGTTACTATTTTCAGAGTGCTCTCCTGGGCTTCTTCAAGAAGGAATTTGTACTTTTCACAAATCACCAAGAACATGCATGGACAATAGATCACAGATAAGTTACTCAGATTCATAGGTAGTCTGGCTCTAAATGTCTTACTGTCATTACATACAGTTTTGCCAGCAGTGCAGATAACAGACATTTTTGTACCATAACTGATAAGCACTCTTAAAACAACCTATGAAGAAACAGAAATATTCTAGGGGATCCTAAAATGTACAAGTAGCAAAAGAATATCCATAAATCAGGAACAATTAAGGATTCACACAAAGTAGGAGAGGCAGAAACTAAAGGATAAGGTAATGTTGAGTGCATACTGAGCACCAATTTAATCACCTAGCATCAAATACATGTAAGTACAAGAGTCCAGCTAGAACTGTTTTTCTATAGCAATCTATATCGTTTTGCTAGAACTGGATAACTGCTTTATTTCCAATCATCAGACCTCATCAATCATCAATCTGTACCTGTGTACAGAGGCACTGAACTTAGCCTTGATCAACTGGCTGCTGCTCCAGTTCTGCTCTGAATACATCAGTGAGTTACCACACAAAACTCTGTATGACTGAATGCTTTTAGTAAAATTTAGCTATCAAACAGCTTTCCAAATTGCCCAAGAAACTAGGTATTTCTTTTCAATTGCAGTTATGCATAGCAAAAGGAGTTGGAACCCTCTTACAACAGTACTCATGATCATTTTGAAGTAGGCAACTATCATCATGTATGCTAGCTTCAAGATTGTCCTCGTTTGAGCCAGGATGAAGCCAATTTTCCTTTTACTGATTTTTTTCCTTCAGTAAGCTTTCTTCTAATTAGCAGCAAGTGTTCCAGCTAGGACTGATAATGCTGGAATGTTTATCTTATTGTCGGGACTTCAAGGTTACATCTTCGCTCTGCCAGCTCAGACACTATGGGGAGATCTATGACCCGCCCATAGGAGGCTGAGTTAGACAGACAGCAAAACTGGCCAGAGATATTTAATGCCATATATCCATGTAAGCTCAGAGGAAGGTCAGAGATCACGTTCCTGCTTTTTCCCCCCTTCTCTTCTGCTCACGGCTGGCATTCAGGGAGGACTCCGTCCATCCATCACCGTCAACCCCCAGGCTCGAGCTCTCCTGATCCTCATCACTCGTCGCTCTCTCTGGCAGATCCAGGATTTTTCAGGACTGTCCACAGCTCAAGGGAGTGCTGTGGGAGTTGCTGGGGGTGGGGGGAGGCAATAGGGATTTGCACATTCCTGGACACATTTGTATATAATTGTACAGATTTTCTTTTATCATTAGTGTTTAATTAAAGCTGTCTAGTTTTGTTTTCAATCCAGTAAAATCTCTCTCTCATTACCCCTCTCCTTCCCTACCTGGGTGGGAGAGGGAGGGGATGGAAAGCATTGTTTTCACTGGTTTAATTGCCGATCCTGAGTCAAACCGTGACAAAGATGCCTACATTCCCTGGAAAATCTCAATGGGAAAACTGGACATAAGAGCCATCAGGCTCCACCAGGAGAATAATTTGAAACAAACTAAGAGCGCTCCAAAAGTATCCCATGAAAACTCTTTAAGGAAACTTTTGTGAATTAATATTTCGCAGGAAGATCCTGAACAAGCTTTGTATCTAAACTCATTTTGAGTTCAGATACAGCAATATCACCATTCATTGCTCTCAGATGAAAAGCTTGTATTTAGAATAGGATGCACATGGTAGGTTTAAAATGGCTTTAAAGTCTCCTGAACACTAGATGAGGATGCTAAAAAGAAGCAGATATACTATGTTTCACAGGTTCTGATGATCTCAAAGGATCTTGTGACATTAGACTTTCTCTGAAGTTAGTTTTCTTCTGTTTCACAGTAGCAATGGCTAAGAAGGATGAAGAATTTATTAACTTCTTCATTAACTTTTTTTTATTTGCACCATTTATGACAGTTGTTCCATATTATGTGAAAATATAAGATTATGATGAAGATAGATAATTATTAAATCTGCTCAGCAGCAGTAGTGCTTCAAATTATTGACATATTATTAATTTGAAAGACTAACAGATTGCAAAGTAAGCCTATAAAATTTTTGCTAAAGTCAGTAATTATAAGACAAAGATCATCAACGGAATGGCAAGATCATGACAAACCCGACCTGAATACCTACTGAGTTTGTCAGAGAAATGAGGTTGAGAGTCATCTTCTTTTGTAATTATTGGAGCAGAGTTCCTCTAGAATTCCTGTAATGGGATGTAACTCTAGCAAAGGATACCTCAACTGGCATAAACTGCAGAGGGCAACCTTGGTAAAAATTAATTATTTATAATAGATCAGTCTTAGAACACAAAAAATACAGTATATAGGAAACCCTAAACCTCCTGTATATTGTTCAGTTGGAATTCTTTTTGAACTAAACAAATTGGAAATAAAAGAGATGTATATTTTATCATACATGTACTTACTTAAGGAAAGCAAGCAATGTAGAACACTCCCCGTGCAGCTGTGACATTCGTTCAACTGGATCAAGGGGCAATGACTGGCTCGATTTAATGGCTGCTAACTGTCCACTCAGATGTAACAACATGTCATAAACAGTCTTACCATCTTTGCCCAGGTTTTGTATAAAGGCCTTTTCTTGTGGAGAGTTCATCCAGACTTTAGACACATCACTAAGAGAGAAAAAGATCTTGATATTATTATTTTAAATGCAAAAATGAGCTAACATTATATGCAGCACAATAATAAACTTAATGGACCATGAAGCAAAAACAGCAGCCAGAAGGCTGAAAAGTATAGCACTTTTTACTTTTTTACAGAACTTTCATAATAACATAAAAATTTTGAACTGCATCATACTCATTATGTATATGTGACATATTTAATAAAAAAAATTGTGCTTGTCATTGCTTTCTGCCAAATATAAGATTGATTTCTATCATGTTTGTAAATTTCTATGTGTTTGTGTCCCAGGAGATTGGGTTCTTCATTACTTACTAGCAAGCTAGCCAATAACAACTAAGTGATACTACTAAGTCTGATATATATCCAGGGTGTTTGCAAAATTGTTGATTATAAAATTTGCTTTCCCATCTATTTCTTGATCTTCAGAGTATGTGAGGGAAAAAAAGACATATTGTTAAAGCTCTTATCTATGGTATCAAAGAAGGGCCAATTGCTAGAATTGCACTCATTCTGGGAGAAGAATCAATTTCATTTAAGAGGGTGACATATAGTTTGAACTGCATCTTTAACATCCACTGTATTATGATACATCAGAGCATTATAGCTGGAAATAGGGCTTAGAAAATGAAAAATAACACCTGGATGATATTTTCACATAAACAGTACATAGATGCTACAATTGTAATACACAACTGTGAAGTAAAGTGTGTTTATATTCCTCAGATCATCTCCAAAACACTTTAGTGTATATGTTAACATTTTATTAGGCATAAATAAGTGAGCTCTAAACGAATAGGAATTACCGTCTTAGTGAATATGGTATTGAAACAGGATTTTGTCCGGCAGACCAACCAAAGAGAGTGAACCAATTCTTAACAGCAGTTAGAGTTTTCTGGAAAAACATGAACTCCTCTTTGTCTTCATCAGGAAAAAATGATAACTCAAATTTAATTTCACTCCCATCGCTTTGTCTGTCAGCTTCACACTCTTCATCCATATTTTCATCACTCTCACTTTCAAAAACAGTAATCGACCCTGAATGACACAAAAAAAAAATCCAGAAAGATTCCTTATTTCCCTGGTTTTGTCGAGTATAAAATCATTTTTATTTAACACAAATTTTTTTTCAGAAAACAAAAAACTGTCAGACAATGAATGACCAACTTATTTTAGGAATAAAAAAATTAAGTGACACATGTACATATTGGGAATCGAAAAAAATATATTCTTGGAATATAATTTCAATTAAAGAAAAAATTATTACCAAATCAGAAAAAATAAATTCAGGCATGGCTTAAAAAAACACAGACAGCAATCTTAAAGGAAAAAATTTTACATACACTTCCAGTAGGTATAACTTCACCAGCTAGTCCATGCTTGTTCTGCATACCAAGCACATAGCATGGCTCAGTAACTGACTTCTGTTCAAACAGTTTATATGATATTGTATAGGTATAACTAAGTCTACATCCCAATAAACAAGCCTTTGGGATCTTCCCACCTCAGTTAAGCCTCCTCTCTCCTAAATTCTGACCTGGTCAAAGCTTAAGATTACCATGAAGACAATCAAACTTTGGAATAGCCTCCCCAGGGAAGTGGCAGATTATCCCACATGGGACAGTTTCAAGTCTCAGCTTGACAGAGTGCTGAGCCATCTCATATAAACTATAGTATTACCTATAAAGGTTGGACCAGATGATCCTTGAGGTCCCTTACAATCTCCCATCCTATGATTCTGTGATTCTATATATTTTAACAAATATTAGTTGTTAACATTAACAACAATGTAATTTCACAAAATATTACACTAGAGCAATTTTACTCATAGTACAAACAACGTAGATCATTCTAACCTTGAAGGTGTATTTTAATACCTTTCTTGCAGTTTTACTTCACTAAATGATATAAAAACAGAACTAATGTATTAGACAGTGAACAAAATTTTTGTTAGTATTTCAGAAGAAAGAACAATACAATACTATTCAATACGGATAAAAAAGCTTGTCCTTTATAAGATCGTCATGCAGTGAGATCTGAGTTTATGCAGTTCTGCCAGGTGACAAGATTATTTTCCCCATCTTGTCACCACTACCTTCACCAGACGTTATTGGCTTCTCACAGCTGAAACTTTTCAATTCTTCTATCATTTCATTAAAAAATGAATCATGTTGCTCAAGAGCTACTATTTAATCTTAACTACTCCTATTTGTCTTGGAGTACAAACACACACGTATGTCAGCAGATCTGCAAGACCAGAATCCTAACAGTCCTGAAACAGCAGCAATAACTTCTGCTGTTCTAACTTCCTAGTTAGAAAATTATCAGCTCAAAGAACAGAAATGTCAGCAGCCTCAGATACTAGTCACCTGACAACCTTACAGAAGTTCTGTTACTGTCAGTTCATATGCAACAGAACCTTAGCTGAGTTCCTATGTTGGGTTTGCATGGCAATTCTTTGGTAGAGAGAGGGCTACCAGGGTGGTTTCTGTGAGAAGCTGCCAGAAGCTTCTCCTATGTCCAACAGATCGAATGCCAGCAGGCTCCAAGACAGGCCCACCAGGCTGAGCCCATCATCGATGGTGGCTGTGTTTCTGTGATAACATATTTAAGAATGGAGGAAAACACTTTGTGCAACTGCAGCCATAAAGAAGAATGAGAATATGTGGAATAGCCCTGCAGACACCAAGGCCAGTGACAAAAGTTGGTTTTATACAATACCTCACAAATGCAATAAAAACATCAAAGTCTAACCTGAGTATACAACTACAACCTTTGCAGAGTGTACATACTTGGTTAATTCATGACTACAGAAACAATACCCTTCTTGGCAACTAATCCCTTAGGTTTGTTCAGTAGTTATTTTTCTGCTGACTCCTCTCTGGACATGGTATTACAAATGGGATCTTGACTTTTTGGGGGGTTTATTTGCTTGTTGGTTATTTTTAATACTTAAACTGATTTCCTTTCCACCTAGTCTGCTAAAAGGAAGGAGCATTTTTTCTGTTTCTGTGCTTTAGGTCAGGTTTCCCATGGTGTCACAGGAGAGGACAGCCTCCTCAGTATTCATTCATTACATGTACAGAAGGAATTCAAGCAAAGGTCTTTAAAGCAGTAAGGTGAAAAGCAGTTGCAAGAGCTCAAAGTGTTTAAAGTGAACAGCTGCACTATACCTGACTGAGAATATTCACAGCTTGAGTCAGTGGTTTCATCACTGGAACTTGGGAAACAGCTAAAGGAAAATGAGTGTCGAGATGACTCATAGGTTGAGCTAGTGGATGCACCAAAAGAACTTGAGGAAATACTATGGGAAAGTGATTCTGGAGAATAACACGAATGCAGAACCACTTCTCCACTACTGCAGTCTTGATAGTCTGTAAAAAAAGATTACAAGCTGCAGTTGAGATAAAAATATTTTATTGTCAGCGCTTTAACAGTTTATAAACTGATATCTACTTCAATATTTTTCTGTTTCATGCTTCAATTAATCAAGTAATACTTCTCATTTGATTAATGATGAAAATATCACTTTGGTCACTGGAGACAAAAAAAAAATAACCTGCAATTTTTTTTCATCGACTTCACAGGATAGGTCTTCACATTTACTGAAAAGCACCTACCAGAACAGCACTAATCCAAGAATTCTAAGTCAGGAAAAAATATTCTTAAGGAATTTTTGATCATACCTCTGTAGTGAGTCTCAGCATAATAGTCGCAGACTCTTTCAGACTCACAACACATATTTTGCAAACCAAACTCAAAAGTATCCCTTATCAATCCATCAGTTTGGTAAGAAAGTATGTTCCAACATTTTCATGTTGGCCTATGACAGGATTAGGGAACACTGTTAGCTATTTCTGATACTAGTCTTCAAAGCAAGAGTAGAGGACGAAGCCAGTGTAGTTTCTAGACAAGTAAACACATAAAGAACTCTGCATGGTTATCTCTAATTTTTGATTGCTGGCATTGTTATTTGTATCATTTTGAGCTTTTCTGAGTAGCTTTAAAAGCTATTTTGCTGTACAGGTATGGTTTAGTCACACTAAACAGCATTCCACACCAAAATAGTCTATTAAAAAACCATATACAATAGACTCAAGTACTTTAGCAATAATGACATGCTTCAAAATTGATATAAACTGATAGTGTAAAGAAACTAATAAACAATCAATACAGAACTGAAATATCCCATTATTAATGGGAGATTAGTTCTTACAAAATCATCACTGTTTTTGGCTTAATCCTCATGGGAAACCTACAAAGCAACTTCAAATGACAAGCTTGCAAAAACTATCTATTGGTCACAAAAAAAAAATATTTAAAAAAATCAACACATATTTAGAAGATATAATAGTCTTCCCTCTTTCATAACTTCATTTAATTGTGCCATTATCCATTACTGATATGGTATCTATATCTATCTTCTACATAACCCAAATAGATTAATTAATACAATAATTGCCTGTCTTCTTGCTAATTGCTTTCTCAGCTTCACAAGTACCACTTCTTTTTTCTCTTAGATAGTAACACACTTGTTTTAAATTAATGCAGTTTTAGAACTCAGTTTTCAAAGCTAAATCTATTTCAGATCTAAGAAACTACTTTCTTACCTGGAAAACTTCATCAAAATACATCCAAACCCATCAATTATTTAAAAAAAACACAAGAATTTACCCTATACTTGAACTTGCTTTGAGTAGGAGGTTGGACTATGTGAGCCCTAGAGTTCTCTTCTAACTTGAATTATACAATTATCCTAATCTCTTCCCATAAACAGAGCTACATATGAAGAGATACAGATCACAAAGGCAGGCAGAAAGAGGGGGAGCAGGAGGCAGGCAAAGATGAGGCCAGGGTGTCAACAATACAGGCAGAGATGTAGAGAGACAGAAGTGTGCAGAGGGAGGCAAGCAGAGACACATCGCAGATAAAAATATTTCTAGTCTCTGATCTGAGGCTTTTATTAGGCCTTAAAATATAGCTATAGCTATACTCCCCAGCCTTCAAGGACATCAATATAAAAAACCTGAAAACTGTTCCAAACAGGCACACAGTGATCACGTTTTATCATAGGACCATGTGACTTCCCTCTCTTTTGCCTTCTTCAAGTCATATCCAACTGTTGTTCCAGGAATTATTGATCATCACTCTCTATCAATATAATTTAAACTATGTTAACTTGTTCTCTATTGTTTGGGCTGTTATCTCTAGATATACTTTAAAAACTTCACAAAACTGTCCAATACTTTTCAATAAACTTTACCCAACCATTTATCTAAGTTTTTATAATTTTCAACAAACAAAAGGAAGCTATTCATCTGTTTAAACCATTTCACTGCCATACCTCCTTGTAATTAATGAGAAGAAATACTATATTGAAGCTAATTTCCCTGCTATTGCACTGAAAACACTGATAATACTACAGGGCATAATACAATATTAGGAGATAGAATGTTGACAGCTTACTGCTTCTCAAGATAATTTGTTGATCAGCGTGGTGAAATGCCAAATATGGGTATAAAGTAAGAAGGCAATTCTCTGCTGTTGCAGCAACTTGAATTGAGAACCTGTTCAAAACAAAATAGAAAAGTGACAGTTTTCCATTTCGCCAAGGTAATAAAGATGTTTCAACAATCTGTCTCTCTGAAAAGAAAAAACAATTAAAATTACAGGTGACATTTATGAGTATTCTACAGGAGATAGCTAACTGGCTAAATATATCCTATAACTTTTGAGAGGGGAAGTTCTATTGAAGAGCAACATCTACATTTATTTGATTTTTATTCTATATGACTTTACAGAAATATCAACATAACTATTTAGAAATAAAGATTCAACTTGAAAAACATAAGATATTGCCTTCAAGCGCTAGAATATAATAGACATTATTTACATGGTCCAGCGTTTACTAGAGAGACTATACTGTCTGTAGCAGTCATATTAATGCTGCAACCCACATTTTAACCTTTTTTTCACAGTTCACCTCAATCTCTTGGGTGCAGTCATTAAACAAAGAAATTATTGCCATCAATGGATTC